AATTTTTGAGTATTTATGTTTTCTTATTTTGTAGATTTTAGTTAATTTTTCTTATTTTTCAAAATCAAATTTTATTGTGTGTTTTTATTGTTAAAATTAAATTGACTAAAGTAGTGTAATCGAAAGTAAACATTCATCGAGAAATCGACAACCTGGACTCAAAAAGTCCACTTTACTACTTGAACGCGATCCGTGCACTTACGGTATATAATTTTAGCTAACATGGAACTTAATTGTAAATTTTTAGAACTTACACCGAATCTATTTTAGATGATTGTGCGTGATGAAGATTAAATTGTAAATATTTGAAGATGAACGATTAAAGTTGAAAATAAGGGACTCAAGTTGAATGATAGAAGGAATCTAGGGATCAACTTGAACTTGGCAAAAAAATGTGAAGCTTGTGATCACAAGCTTGGGTAGTTGCGGTCACAACGCTTATAAGCAGGGTTCTTATAGCTTAAGCTCTTGTATCTTGCCTCGCAAGTGTTTATACCATGCGATGGTATGTTGTCTTACAAGAAAATTTTTGTTTTCCATTTCGTTTGAAACTCTTCTTGGAAAGTAAATCGGGCATGAATTTTTTACCTAATTCTTGAGCTATAAATACAACTTTCATCTAAAATTCAAAAATGAAGATAGATGGAGCTTGTACATAGAAAAATACATAATAATTCTTAAAAGAGAGAAACTACATATATCTTGCAAAACTTTGAAGAAGTTTTTGGTGCAAAACACATATTCCAACATAATTTCATACATCTTTGCTTGGATTGAAGAAGAAAAATGTATCAAAGAGATAATTCAAGATTATTGTTCATCTTTCTTTCCAGCCATTTAAATTTGGGTGATATTGTATCCATTTATTTTTTGTTTCTAGTTGTATAGACACTGTTATCCCCCGATTTCGAGGTTGCAGAAGATTGGCCACGTGGCAAGCCACGTGTAGGGATGGTCAGAAAGGAGCAAAGAGGACGTCCAAATGAGTCAGAAACCCCACGAGGGAAGTGGGCCGAGGC